TTATCTACAATATGTTTTTTTTTTATAGAATAGGAATAACAAACAGCTATAACATACAGTTTACAAAATAATCTTAACAAATAATGCACTTATGTTAAATTGTAGCCCACAGCGTTATTCACAAATTAAGAGAAATAAGAATAAAATACAGTATTAATTAAACACGCTCACATTTGTACAGGTTGGAATATTCATAGTTTATAAATATATAAGTGCGTAAGTTTATTTTTAAATATATTTGCTCCGTTGACGGTACTAGGCTTAGCACCTATTGCCTTCCTCGATAAATGGGCTAATACTTAAAGAATTTTTCAATTCGACGCTGTAGTTTCTGAGATAAGTGCGTTCAACCAAACAAACGATCAAGCAAAATTCTTTAGCTTAAAATATTAGTATTGATTAAAATATATGATAATTGCTAAACCTTTGAGATTTTTTATACATATTATATACATATTGTATTACTAAGAACTAACCCTTATTAAACCCCTTTTTTCCCCCTTTTTTTTCCGTGCGGAAATCCCCTCGGATACCACGGTGGCATGTCGGACTCGAACCGACTAAAACCGCACGCCGTCTCGGGTATTAATAGCCGGGGAACCAGGTATACCCTAGAAAGGAAGTCCCTGGTGCAACCCTTATTAAACCCCTAACACAAACCGAGACTGTTTGACAGTTTTTATATTGAACTAAAAACGCTTTCGCTTATGACTTAATAATTAACACAGTAGGTCGTTAATGAGACAGTATCTGCGTACAACGCGAGGAATTGTTAAAAGGTATCTACCTACCATTTGTAATGCTGTCGCACTTTGTGACGTCACGTCTATGTAGGTATATTGTGGCACTGAACAAATTAACATTTCAGGTACAGTTTAATAGCGAATTAACTGCTTGGGATCTTTACTATGTAAAGTATTTAATTAAGATCCTCATTTGTTAATAAAGTACAGTGGAAACTTTAATGACATAATGTACGTACAAGTTAAAATATAGAAATTACTTCATGAGTATATTTCCGTAAGGAAAAATATACTGTACATCTCACAAAATCTTAGCGTTTAATAAATTAGTTTTACCTACATATTATACTTTTTTTTTTTTAAAGACAACTCCCGCATTAGATATACAGAGAGTTTCATTTCCTTTCCCAAATACTTAAGCCACATATTCTGCCCTTAATTTCTAGGCGATTTGCAAAATATGAACAAAATATATCCAGTAGTTTAGCCACAGGACTCATTTTTGTGTTTCGTAAATTGCAACATCATGTGTACATGCAGTCATAATACATTGACCTCAGGCGGCGATCAGCTGTAGGTATACGCGGCGCGGTAATCACACGTTGCCGCTTTTACTACACCCGAATCGAATGAAATATGTTGATTATTACGTCATCACGATGCAACACGCGTTTTTAATTAGTTCATCCAGTAAGGACAGTCAGTCGGCCCTTGGCCACCGGCGAGCTTCTGCTATTCCGTATCCTTGTAGATGCGCTCACGACAAATAACCGTAATAATAATATTGTTGTTGTTTATGAGATACATATTTGTTTAGAGAAGTTTTCTTGTGGTAATAATTGTTTAGTCTTATTGCTTTCGTCATAATACATGGCAATGGTGTGAACAATTAATGTTATCGTGTGCGCAAGACTTCGTAATGTAAGGAGTCCTGCTAATTTTATTTTGAAAAGTCACTATTAGGTTCTGTGTGTAGTGTAGTGTGAAACTGAGTGCATTATCAGTCTTTTAATTTTATTGGGTTATCGATATCAACATCCATAATGCCGTGAGTGACCTTCACAGCCGCGGAATATCCTGCTATGATGTTAATTTATGGAAAACTCTATCAAAACGCATCTTTTGCGTTACGGACATGTATGGAGTCAATCGTGTATGTCCTACAGACTGCCGAATTTTTGTAAGGGCGGTACAAAGATTACGAGACAACCAAGGTAACTACTTTTTCAAGGAGTGACGCGTACTGCTGGGTCGGAAGCTAGTCGAGCATTCACGAAATAAACACGTGAATAAAATCGCATTCTTTATAAATAGATTTTTAAAAGCAAGTGAAGTGATTGGTAGGTAGGTAATAAGAATGTAAAGTTCGCCGGCTCGCGGCGGCGGCGGCGGCGTCGTTTTGATGTCGCCGACATTGCGACGCTGCCGTGTAGGTACAGTTCACCGACTCATGTTATCAATGGTGTTCTAATTCGGAAATTATTTTATTGTATTTAGTTTGTTCTAAATTTTCATTTCTGTATTTGCGTACTAATTTTTTATTTTTTTATTTTAACCGACGTATATTGAACCGTGTTATCTGTTATTTCATTTTTTGTGATATCTATACCGCCACAGTGTATATATCCTGTGTCGCGGGAGACTTTACAAACATACATGAAACGGACACAAAGCACACCCAGACTCAGAACAACAATTTGTGGATCACACAAAGTGTCGTCCCATGTGGGGTTTGAACCCACAACACTCGGCGTAGTAGGAAGCGGCGTGGCGACCGCTTTAACCACTCCGCCATCCGTGCAGTCAAAATTTTATTTTAAATGTTTTAAATATAAATAGTCTGTGTGCCGTCCGTCCTTGTCAGTGTTCATCAGTCCGTGTGGTGACGTATAAAGAATGCGGAGTGTCACCACCCCTATTCATCCCATGGGTGTCGTAACAGCCGACTAAGGAAACAAATTACGCAGGACAACAGCATTGCAAAGAGAAGAAAAACTTGAGAGACGCGTCTCGCCAGCGTAGTATCACATCCTTGGAAAGGAGGTTTTGGCCTACTATACTAACCTCCTTTCTAAGGAGAGGCCTATGTCCTGCAGTGGACTATTAAAGGCTATTGATGATGATGATATCTAAAAAAGTGGACAAAAATTATTTGTGACCTTGTCTCCAGTCACAAAAGACCCTTTTCGAGCCATTGCGAGTTTCATTCCATGGGAGAGCCATGCTTCGACTCAATTAATATCACGGCCTCACAGAAAACTGATGTTGAACAATTTTTAAAGTTAAAACTTCTTTAGGCGCGTTAGGCATTTTTGAACAACAAACAAAAGAATATAATTTTTGAGATGGGGAAAAAACCATTGAACTCGCGTCACTGTTATCGTTACCGACACCTCTGTATATAGGTTTCCACATAGGTATATTGGCCCCATTTACACGAGAGTTGAGTTTAAATTAAAATACATTGCTAATATAATTATATATATATATTTATATATAGAAATCTATTCCTGGGTCATAATTACCAGGCGCTGTCGAAGTAGGATGTGTTGCCCCCATCTATCACGCCATGGACCCGGCACCCCTACGTTGAATACATGGAATGCTAAGAAATAGGTCTATAAACATATATTATGTATATACGTACAACATATTCATGTCGGAACTTTTCGAATCGAAAAAATAAAAAAAAAATTGTTATAATCAAAGAAAAAAAAACAGTGGCACTTTTTCGTTGCCTTTCACCGAGTCCCCTTTTATTCTGGGGGCTTAAAGGACGGTAAAGCCCTCTCTGTGACTCATGAGTTGAAAGTGCCCCTGGGTGACGGTAGTCACCGCCTTCTCCCCCTGACCTTAAAAAAATCGGTATTACTTAAACCAGCTCCGGTATTATCCGTTTTAATTAAGCAAACTAATTTACTTCCTCTGTTCTGTCTGAAAATAATTACATTCAAGTTAATTAATTTTGGTCCGTGTGGTGACGGATTAAGAATACAGAGTGTCACCACCCCTATTCATCCCGTAAGTGTCGTAAGAGGCGACTAAGGGAAAAAACTACGCAGGACAACAGCACTGCAGAGAGAAGGAAAACTTGATACAAACCCTATACCAACCCGTCTGGCCAGCGTGGTATAGTAGGCCAAAACCTCCTTTCTAAGGAGAGGCTTATGTCCAGCAGTGGACTATTAAAGACTGTTGATGATGATGATGATGATAATTAATTTATCTATAATATGTATGTATTTAGAAATATATAAGTGTGTTTATCAGCAGTCTGCTTATTGCCGTGTGTGAGATCTCTTAAGTCATTAATATTATTTTTTCCAAGTAGTTGGTGACACCCGGCCATAAAAGAATACATCCAAATAAATATACTAAAACTGGATAAGGCCTCAAGAATGACGATATTACTGAATTTATACTAAACAAACAAAATCATGTCGCTTTTCCATTATTTATTTATTTGTTAATTCTAACTCTCTCAGGTACGGGAGAGTTGACTTCGCCTGTAGTTTCGTAACTTTATTTACGTATTTCCTAAATTATGTCAAGTTTATAATGTATATATCACAGATCTCACACACGGCCGTCCGATCCCAAACTAGGCAGAGCCTATTTACTATGGTACACTTACTATGGTAACCAGACTGCTGATAAACATAATTATATATTTTAAAATAGATACATATTGTAGATAAATTACACCCATATACAGAACAAATCACCGTGCTTATCACACAATATTTGTCCTGGGTGGGAATCGAACCCACGACCTCTGGTTTAGCAGTCAGCGTCACTAACCACTCGACCAACAGGCCCGTCGTAATTCAATAAAAATATATTTTGCTTCTTAAAAGTATAGTTTATATTTGATATTATTTTTTTTATTGAATAGGCCGATTTACGTCCGTCATTCATTAAAAGGTCTGGTTGAAAACCAGCGCTTGACATCTGTCAAGCAGACGCTGAACCAGGTCCTATTCGACTGGCACGTGAGGGACCTACACGTAAAAATGTATTTTCGCTTAAGCCTAGTAATAAGTTTCCCTGATATTATAAGTGTATGTTCTAACGTTCACGAATCAATTGTTTTTCTTTCTTTCTTTCTTTTTTCTTATAAACTGTATCCTTATTTGATATATTGTGTTTACAAAAATATTTCGTTTCCACTTGATATGGAAACCTAACCGAGGTCCGTCTCAAAGCAATGTGTTTTTGCAGGTCGGTGTTGTGAGCAGTCCCTGTTAAGCTGTTGTCATGACGCTACATTGGTGGATGCACTGGTTCTGGGTGACGACGTTGTTCATCATCATTGGTAAGTCGATTAACTGATTTCTATTACTGAAATAAAAGTTAACACGATACGACGTTAAATTGAAAACTTCGTTGTAAAAAGAATAGTTGCGGGGTTTTCTTTACTATTAAATTAAATATCTAATAAGATTCGTTATTTAAACAAAGTAGTATCCTTGTAAAGGGTCAAGTTAATGTTCTCAATCAGCCGCACTCCAGTACATTATATCATTATATTTAATAAAACTCAGCCCAAGGTTGCACTTGAGAACCACTTCACCAAAGAGCCAAGCCATCGTTTAGTTCATCTCGTAGAAAAGGCTGCTGACCTCACCGTGGTCAAGATACAGTCATACGTATATCGTATCTTATTAGTAGTTCGAATATTCCTTATAACATCTTGAAGGGTTCGAGTACTTGTTTCGTATATTGTATGTATATTAATAATGTGTGTATGTGTGTGAGTCTCTCTCGCTCTGTGTGTGTGTGTTTGCACATATACTATATAAATAATTATAGCTTTTATTTTTTTTTATATTAATTCGTAAAGATAATTCTTTGAATCCTCTTTTTAACAAATATAGCACACGGGAGCATTTTATATTGAGAATATTTACGTAAATATAGAAAGAAAAGTACACAAAGCATAATTTTTCAAATAATAGGTATGTGCTATAAAGTTAATCATTTTGTGAAAACTATAAAGGCCTAGTATATACCGGTATATACTTGTCACACAGACCATCCTGCTCTGTGTGACAAGTACAAGAGTCAGGGTCCAAGTAATTAATAATTGTGGTTCGAATATCAACTACTCAGAGAACATTGGTCTCAAAGAAAAAAACACTTTTACAAAAATGCTTTTCAACAAAACTTCAAGGTGATTCATCAGCTGTCTTTATCTATTCATTCGCAACATTGAATGGTATATCCTGACACCTATCCTATCCTATACGTCTCGCAATAGCTATTTCAAGGCATTCTATTTGGTAAGGCTACTATTGGAAATAGAAATACCCATCCACATTTGACCACTATGTCAGAAGAAAAATTAATTTCTTTTGATATCCGTTATGGATTGACCTTTGTATTTTATGATTAATTTGTTTTTGTATTATCAGCTGTAGACTGTATAGAAATAGGACGACCTGACTGTCAGCGTCAGAGATTTCGAGTGAAATGTCAAGAGGTTGCTTTCTACGCTATTAGCATTATAATACAAATATGTGCTTTGTGTAAGTTTAATATAATATAATATGATGATGTAATGTATAGCAGGCTAGTTATATAATTTATATATTTGTGCGTATTCCACTCACTAAAGAAAAGATGAAAGATGAAGAAAAGATGATTTTATACCTTATTGACAATACTGAAAGTTTCTGGATCTGGCCACTTACAACAAAAGAATGAAAAAACAATTATGGAATTTGAAAATGGATTTCTTTGGAAACATGTTACTATTTAATTTTGCGAGACTGTCACTTGTTTTTTCATTGTGACGTCCTTTCGAAAATTGTGTCGCTATCAAAATGAATTTAACTCGTGAACAATGATTTTCGTCGTGGCTTAAGTCAACAAGAGAGTTGCCAGAGACTTTAATTGGCATTTGGTGATGAAGCACCATGTCGCAGCTCTGTGTATTCGTGGTTTAGAGAATTTAGACGTGGACGGTAATCATCTCCATCACGAGGTACTTGAAGGTCGGCCGGCGACTGCGGTTACAGACTCTAATATTGACACCGTACGATAACTTATTGAAACTGATAAGAAAATTACTTGCCAGCAAATTAATGCTTTGTTAGGCATTGGAATGAGCTAAGTGCAAAACATTTAACAGAGGACAGTTATTGGCTGTCTATACTATCGTGACAGGTGACGAAACCCGGGTGTACTGCTTTGAACCCGAAAGAAAAAGCCAGTTGGCAGGGTCTTTCGTTTTGAAGATTTGCCGACGAAAGTTAAGACAAATCAAAGCATTGGTAAAAAAATGGTTGTTTTTTTTTCGACAAATCAGGACATTACACTACAGTATCGCTTGAAGATCGAAGGACAGTGACTGCAGATTGGTATGTCAACACGTGCTTACCCAGAGTCTTAGAAAACAGTTCGCGAAAAGCGTCCTCGCAGCAATGTCCTCCTTCACCACGATAACGCATCCTCACATTTCGATAAGGTAACAGAAGCCTATTTGAAGGCTTTTAACGTGGAACTGATAACGCATCTGCATTACAGCGTGGACCTTGCACCCTGCGACTTCTTTTTGTTTTCAAAAATTAAAGACAAACCTTGAGGCACACGTTGTACGAGCATTGAATCGGCGATGAATGCTTTCCATGAAACCATTGAAGAGGTCTCTAAGGAGGACTGGTCCAACTGCTTTGTAAAGTGGTTGCAGCGAATACAAAAATGCATAAATTGCAAGTGAATAAGAGTATACTTTGAAAACAATAAATGTAAAATAAAGTCTTATCTTATTTATCTAGTCTCATTTATCAGAATCCAGAATCTTTCAGTATGCCCTAAGCAGATCCTTTCGTACCTTTCACCAAAGACAAAAGGTTCGTACATATAATGCTCTAACATAAAGTTTACACAAAGTGCTAGATCCTAAACTGTCCCCTGGGATAGGACCTGATTAGGCATGGTGTCAATTCGGGGAGGACCTGAAATAACATGGTCCGGGTCCTCCCCAGAGTAGGGCACCTAAGGCCTTCGGGGTGGTTTTTAGTGGAATCACCACATACTCCTGGCACCTGAGTCCCCGAGGAGCAGGAGATCCGAAGGGATTTTCCACCCCGTCAACAAAAAAAAAAGATCCTAAACTGTAATGTAGCCACAACGACTACAGCGTGAAAAAGCCCACTCGCTCTAGAGTTGGCAATTTAAAGGGTTACATCGCGTATTCTAAGAATACGCTATGTAAATTGAGGTTTCGCTGCAAACATGCGAACAAAATTGGAGTAGAAACAAATGAATACTAAATAAACTAGTCTGTGGGTGAGTCATGCTGTAGCACAAACGGACCGGCTCGACTGGAGTGATATCATAGGCTCACAGAAAACTGTGGGAAAAGAGCAAGTGAGGTAACCGGAGCCCATACCTCCCTTTAAAACTCTATGCACTAGTATGAGTTGTACAATGGCGGACTTAATGCCACAGGTATTTTCTCCCAGTCTACCTTAGGGTGGTGCTAAAATATGTGACTAGGCGCACTAGAGATTGATATGTAAAGTAATAGAAAATTATTGAGAAGAAACAATGAGATAAATATACAAACATACATACGTACCAAATAAATAAACTTACATAAATACTTACCTAGTTACATACATACACCTACATATGCATATATACCGTCATCCTGGGGGAGGGGACTCAAAGAACGGCAAAGCACTCGTGACTCTTGATTTGCAGGTCTCGAGTGCTGAGTTAATTGCAGAGTTGTTGTCCCTCTCCTGGTGGTCTCCCCATACGGGTATGTGACCCTGACTTTTACAAGCGCACATTGCGCAGACTGATTTTGATTTGATGTATATACGTCCGTGTGGTGACGGATTAAGAATACAGAGTGTCACCACCCCTATTCATCCCGTGGGTATCGTAAGAGCCGACTACGCAGGACAAAAGCACTGTAAAGAGAAGGAAGACTTGACACAAACCCTTTTTTTTTTTTTTTTTTTTAACGTGTGGAAATCCCCTCGGACCGTCACCCCTCCGGGGTTTGCGGCGGGGTGGTGTGTCGGACTCGGACCGACTAAAACCACACGGTGTGCCACTCTGCGCCTGTAACAGGAGGGATCCGGGAACAGCTGTTGTTAAGACATCCGGACCCCTCCTAGCGCCAGCCCGCTCCTGGTGCGGGCTCCGTCTCGATGTTTTTCCTCTCTTTATAGGCGACGTCCGGCACACGCGGACGCCGCCCCCTCGCGGCTGGCCAAACTAATGCGGGTGGAGGGGAAACCCACCCCGTCCACCCGCGGCCACACTCAGGGCGGCATGAGGCTGTGATAGGCGGGCCTCCGCCGCCCGGTTCGCCGGCGGCGGGTCGGGTCCGAGTGGAGGTCGTCCTCCCGGGCCCTCTCCGCCGCCTCCTTCCGCGAGATTACTACCTCGCAGAAGGTAGCGACCGCGGTAAAACAACTGTCGCTACCGGCCATGGAGCGTACTACGGCCGGTAGCGAGAGATCCACTCCGATGACTGCAGTGAGGGCCCGACGCTGCGCCGCCCATGCGGGGCAGACCGCCAGCGTGTGCTGGGCCGAGTCCTCACTGCAGTCGCAGTGGTGGCAGGCGGGACTCAGTTCCCTCCTTGCGACCGTGTGCAGGTACTTTCCGAAGCAACCATGCCCGGAAAGCACCTGCGTCAGCCGGAAGGAAAGGGTCCCGTGCTGCCGCCCTGCCCACTCGGGACACAAACCCTATCCCAACCCGTCTGGCCAGCGTGGAATAGTAGGCCAATCTACCATAGTAGTACCTCCTTTCTAAGGAGCCCTATGTCCAGCAGTGGACTATTAAAGGCTGTTGATGATATTTTTTTCCTTATGAACCTTTTACTAGTCTACCCTCACTTTATTTGCACGAATCACTTGATTTTTCAGAGAAAATACTTGTGTTAAAACTACAGCCTGACTACTTTGTCCTCCACAGATGTGCTTCAGAGAAATTGAAAAGGTCTCACCGTATCGTTGAATTATGTATGTCTGCGGTCTGTTTTTGTGAAGCTTTTTGTGTTACAGATTCGTGCCGTTTGATATTTGTTTTCTTTTTAGTATCTGGTAAAAAAACTGGTAAAGACTTATTTACAGCAAGTTAACCAGCCCGAGCTTCTTACCAGATAAGTTAACAGATAAGTCTACTGTCACATATGTAGGACGGTAGAAATAAAAAAATATTTCAACTTACGCACATATTAACTGAGTATATTTAATAGATATGTAGTGACGAGCTATTGAAATAAAAAATTAAAAAGGTGCAGTTATAATATATTATCCGTTTAATAAATATTTCATTAAAAAGTAT